GATGTTCTAGCTGCTGTACAGCGTCCAACTGGGTATGTTCAGCATGTGGCTGTGGGGCATCTGTGCGATCATGTAGCTGGGGCGTCATCACTGTTCCTGTCGTCCCCGTAGCGGCATCCTCACTGACGGAATTAGCGAGTCGATGGATACGAAGAGACTGAAAGTGTTCACTATCCGCTTCCTGGGTACTCTGCAAAGTGCGGAGAAGTGCTTCAGCGTCGGCCTGATGTTGATCCACGCTGTGCTCTTTCTCGAACCTGCTGTACGCCTGCTGATCCGTCTGCGAATTGGAGATGGTAATGTGGTACAGAAGTACATCGCGACGTTCACGCAGAAGCGAAAGTGCGAATCTCAGATCACTATAGAGAACTGTGTGGCTGCCTGATGTTGCTGGAGCTGAAGGAGTTGCTCAGCAACTGGGGCGTCAGACACGTACGGGGCAAGCAGATCGGAACTTACGTGTTTCCTAATCGCCTCCAGGTCCTCGATGGCTTTAACGACCTTCGGGATATAGGATTGCACGGTAGCCTCGATCGATAGCGCGCTGACTCGTAAACTTGCAGGAGGTAATAGCTGCAGACCCAAATTCTGTAACTGTGCTACGTGAGTATGTTCGATGGGGGTGTGACTACTTCCGGACGTAGTCACACAAAATGGTGAACACAATACACGAGCGAAATGCATGAAACGATGAACAACAAGCAACGACTGAAACCCCCAGATGTTACTATGGGATGTGAGTGCCGATGATCGAAAGCAATATCGATCGCAAGGAGTCGTCAACTAGCTAAGCCTAGCCACAAGTTGCGAAAGGAGAAAAAGGATGAGTGCGCAATGCGAGCATGTGGGGAAATGGAATTAGGGGCGAGACTCTCATCTAACATGACATACAGGGCTCGTTCGCAGCCTGATAACGTGTTTCAGGGCAGACAGAGCTGAACGTCTCGATGGCTGCAGAGAAACCTGGCCTTAGAAGGCACCAGACAGTTCCGGGCAGTAGGCAGGGCGTAGATTGCTGCTGCCATCCAGGTCTACGGGATCACCCTACTCTCAATCTAAGTGGAACTGTGGGTAGTCGCGTACTCCGTCAACCTAGTCGCGGCGGGGCTTACTGATGAAACGAAAGATGAGTCCTCTAAGGAACCGCAAACTACAACCAGCATATATACACTGCGCAAACATGTGAAATGAAAAATGGGATAAGGTTTGCACTGCTAGCTAGGGACACTAATGTGCAAAGCGTGCACATGTGGACTACACAGGTGGGGCTCGATCACAAAAGCTGAACATAGGTTTGCTATCCCTGTGCTCAACTCCGGTACGATGCACCATGTCGCGGATTGGGCCCCCGGCTCCCAACGTCAGTGGTGTTACGGCTCTCCTGCATCGGCGAGGGGATCCAGGGGTCCGCTCGGTGAGAATAGTGAAGCGTAACGTGTGAGGTGGCTACCTGTGCAAACGCTACTTGTGCCTGCCACATGGGAACTCCACACACACTTAGGGGCCCTTGCCACCAGCCGGCTTAGTAGCGACTCGTCACTTGCGACTCGACCAATGCCTCCAAGCATCGACAGCTGGGGCGTGTACTCATAACTGAGGCACTTAACCAATATCGTGCCAACCTGCTACAGATGTTTCCCATTAGGTAAAATTACAAATACACATGAAATGATAAGACAATATCCCGGAGCCACAGCCGAGCTGTGGTCACCGCTCCAACACAAATCACTCCTGTACAATGCCCACCATTTATCCGCAAGTTATACCTACACTCAAACATACAGGATGAGCACAACCAGCCAGATGTTACCGTAGGGGCCGGCAATATCGGAAACCCCCCGAGGCGGTGTCGCCGGCGCGTGCCAGGCGCGAGCGCGCTTGGTGTTACCTCGTAGCGTGGGAGCCAGTCCTCCATGGCGTTGGTGGAAGCGACGCGTGAGATGGGGTAGCGCTGATCAATCGATGGCTTGAGACGAATTGGAACCCGACCGCTCACGATGGCGACAGCAGCGAAGAATGACTACGTGACTTATTTAAACGCTGCGCAGGTGAGAGGTGAGAGGCGGGACAGCGCGAGGACGGCGTTTTGTGACCCATTCGCAGCGCGGCGGTGGCAACCTTTGAAAAAAGTCGCGAATCCGCGACAAAGGCGTCCACAGAAAGATTTGAGAATATTGAAATCGGAATATATTAAGGATAAGCTGTATATCGAAAGGCTTGCCTTGATATACTGAGCACAAAGCTCTGCGTGATTCGCATGGTTTCGCGGATCCTGAAATGTCGTGAGCTTCCCGGATTATCGGGCACTCTGGCGTAAACCCCGGAATTCCGCGAAGTTTACGGATTTTTGACATTCTGTGGGCGGTATTGTGATCTTGAGCAGATCTTAGAACAAATTCGATTAGCGTGGCTCTCTACCATACTCTATAGTAAACTGTCTATGTATCATCAGCGACAGATCAATGGTATACTGTTATCAGCACACTGAATTGAACCAAAATAATCGATAATTCTGCAAACTAATATTGTATTCGGAATCCCCATGCTCACTTACCCCCAACTCCCGGCCCCGTAGGTGAACTCTGCAAAAGAATCGATAAAAATCGATAAAATCGATATCGATCGATGACGAAAAGTAGTCTATGACACCCGCCGGGGCCCGAAGTGTATGGTGCCCGAAGTGTTTGGTCTGGATCGGTTCAGAAATGGAATTTTCTATTCGGAACATACGTACACACATATCGTCGAGTCATTCGTAAATTAATATGTGAGCCTGCACACAAAGCGTTTCAACGGACGGCACCCTTAACATCAACTTCTCGATCAAATCCTTTCAGCGTAACAAAGTGTAAAAGTGTATACTACTAACTAATCAATATCCTTTCAAACCCAAAGAGGCAAAGAAACAAGACGAAGTCGTTGAAATGAGCAGGTTCCAATCTTTTAAGCTCGTCAAATAGCGCGTATGGTGTGCAATAAGCATTTTAAGTTACAAATGACTCGAGCATACAGACATACAGACAGACAGACATTCAAACAGACATTCACCTTTATATATAAGACTAGCGACCCTACGGGTCGCTAGCAAGCGGGTTAGGGCAGAACCATAGATAAATGCCGTTTCAAACCTATAATTATCTCAAGTGAATTTCCAAATTATCAATATATGTATTGCCACAACTGCTCAAAAGTAGCATTTATGGAGATTTTCTCAAAATTGGGGCGGAAGGTGGTCATATCGCTCTAAAATATTGTCTTGCCCCACTCACCGTTGTACAATTTCCTTTCGTAATGTCACTCTCGCACTCACGCTTACATTTTGGAGAAAAAAATTGAGTTCACCCGGAGCAAATGCTCTCAAAAACGAGATTTTCACAGACTTTTTCAAAATTTGACCGAAAAGTGGAAAATAATTTAAAAAATAACTCAGCTGACATTGAATGAGAAGAGGAAGACGAAAGAGAGCATAGTGAGTACGAGAATACTGAGATGGGATGTGAGCGGATCTATAAATGGTATGCTTCTATCTATAACCAACTTTGAATCGCCATCTCGCATATTTCAACACATTTGGCACGCGTTTGCGCATTTCAACATAACCATTGCAGCAGCAAAGCGTACCCGTGTCGTAGTCTCTCGTTCGCGCTAGGACCTCTGCGTCCTCTTGACCTCATCGTCGCACCGTGGCGTCTCTACACGATAAGGCCCCTTTCGGCGACTAGCCTCTATTCAAAACAAACGTTGAAGCATACATGTGGGCGGACTAACCTCGCCGTCTCGTTTTTTGGGATTGGGTTTATATTATAGGAGAGATTTTCAAAACATCCGTACCACTAACCAGGTGATTTTAACGAGATTATACAAAGCTTATGTAGTTCCTCACCTGGAGTACTGCTTTCAGGTGTGGAACCCAGTAAGTGTGAAGCAAAGCTTGAAAGTTGAGAAAGTTGAACGTGTTTTTACAAGAATGATTTTATCTCGTAGTCAGAACACTTTTGGGCGAACAATACCAGACTACAAAGGCAGGCTTGAAATTACTGGTTTGAAAGTCACTGAGAGTCAAAAGTATTGCTGACATGGTTTTCTGTTTTTGCATTTTGAAGAAAGAGAATGATCTCAGTACTAACAGCTTTTGGGTCTTTAGACCAACTGGCTGCAGGCATGGAGGATTTAATCTCTCTTATGCTAAGCTAAACAGATATCACTACTCCGGACTTTTTGACTGTCTCTTCTATCGTTGCGCACGCTGGTTTCGACGTCTGCCTAAGAATATTATCATTAAAAAGCAGTAATTCTTTCAAGAGGGGACTAGAAAAGCTTGATTTAGAAGAAATTCTGAATTGTCGCAATTATCTTTGTTGATTGTGAGATTGTTCATCCAGATGTTCCAGAGATCCTTTTTGTTAGATTGTCATCCATTTTTCTTTTCTTTTCTGAAACTCCTTTTATAGCGTGATGTCTGGGAGTTCTGAATGAACACCTGACAGATGGTACTTAAAGCTAAGGAAAAGACTCAGTGGGAAGGGATTTATCAACAAACAAATGTGCGCACTTACTTTTGAAACCCTGTATTTTATGAAAAGGAGCAGCAGTGTTTCGAAATTCTTTATAACCGCAAGACTTTGTGCATCGTTCAGCGAGCGACATCAGTAAAACACATCATTATAAGAGGTTACGATTTGTAATAGTAAGAAGAAAGATGTAGTGAGTGTAATTTTGTTGCATAGATTTGTGATATTATACAGTTCTTAGAAGGCTTACACTTGTCTGCTGTCTCTGCAGTTGCTCACATTGACTCCATTATTAAAAGATAAACTCTAGTTCAACTTTCTTTTAGTATAGCTCACATTCCTGTTCTGCGCAGGGTTAAGTCTAGTACATTCCGATACACCAGGTAAGTGTGAGTGCTAAGCTTGTCATTTCTAAATGTACACTTGTTAAATGCTTCTGAAAAACTTGCGACTACCTAGACTTGAATAGATTGATCGGTCTGTTCTTGAAAAACATTGCAAACAAATTTATTCCGCCCAAAACAAAGCCCAAAATTTGGAGATTACTGGTACAACTTATTGTAGATATTATTTTTGTTTAGCTTTTGTTGCAACCATCAGAAGCACAGCAGCACATTTTGATGTAGCCGGGTTGGATCAACTTGCCTCCGTGTTTGATTGTTTCGCAGCCTTCTTTCTAAAAGAAAATTTCACATACGTAGCTGGGTCTCTATTTTCTATCGAGTAACCCTACAAATAGCGAATGAAATTCTTGGACGTCAAGGAAGGAAATGACTGAAATCACACGTTCAAACAATGTAATGCTTACCTTGCAAGAAGCGGAAGTAGCACAACCGTAAAAGGTATTGATTATCTGCTTGGACTCTTTCATTACCGTATTTCTAAATATGCAACGTCAATCACGGACACTTTATGTGTAAGTTTGGTGAATGAATCATACGCATAACAATGTTTCGTTCCAGGTGGGCATAGCTGCCTTGTCGCTGGAGGATAACCGTCTTTAAGTCCTGTAATCTGCAATTGGAAAAAGAAAGAGAGACATAATACAGGGATATCCCAAAAAATCTGTTCCCACCGTTTGATCGCTCATATCTCAGTTCCACAGAAGTGTTTTGCCTACCTTCAGATACCACCTTGTAAAGCTGTTTTTAGCTTGGATTTGAATGTGAAAGGGTTCATCGACCGCATTTCATCACTGTAGGATTACGGAAAGAACGAAGAGGGTTTGGGCCTCGAAGGGCCATATCTTGCCCAGAAAGAGAAGAACACCTGAAAACTCTTACACTAGTCTAAGTTGCCTGGTTCCTTTAAGAAGTTATGCCAGGTGAGCAGTAATAGCCGTTTTTTTCGATGTGTGAACTGTCTAGAGAAAGTTTTACAATCCTGTACAAAGTTGAGTATCAAACTCAGCGTCGATGGAACCCCTCCAAACCTTTCAGTTTTTTTTTGTGAAATTTTGCAAGCCGGCAGCTTTTGCACAGTGACGCCTTATGTAGGTAGGTCTCTCCGTAATACTATAGTAATGGGGAGCGACGATAAGCCGCTCCCTGCTGCAAATCTAAGTTTAAGCTGGCTTTACAGAATGATACATAAGGTAAATAATGATAAAAAAGGCAAGAGAGTTCTTAGCAATATTTTGAATAACATTGTGTAATATTAGGTTAGAAAAAGAAGAGCGTTCTTTTTTTTAAAATTTCTGGTTCAAAATTGATATTTCCTAGGAAATGGAGCATTTGAAAGCCAAGTTGTGAGGGTACACAATTGCATTGATGGTACACAGTTGCATATATGGGAGGAACCCAGTACTGCTAAACGTGGAATTCTTCCGCAGTTCATTTTCCTTCCATGAGTATAGCAAGTGAGATAAGGGTGTACGTCTACTACATGCAATAGCAAGTAGAAGCTTGTAGAATAAGGAGCAGAGATCCGATCTGCAACGTTATGAATCTCTCAATGGGTTTAATCCAAACCTTGTTAGATCACGTCTCACGAAGATGCTCAACAGTTGTGTTTCAAAGCTTGTCTCGCCTTATCGATAGCGCCCCTCGCACATTCTTCAGTGTTCGTTCTGTTGCCTGGCATAAAAACAACATCCTTTTCTTTCTGCCCTTATAATCTGTCGACGACCAGGGGCAGTGCCTCACCAAAGTTCAGGTACTGGATCACGGGAAATCTGCCATGTCCGATTTGTTTAAGTCTTTAAGCAAAGAAAAGCGTAACTTACAAAGGAAAAGTACAACAAGATCTTATTAATTGAAAACTGTATATCATTAGGCGCGTCTACAAATGCTAACTCGAAATCTGCTTTCTTTTTCTGCGAACAACTGATTGTGATCCTTCTTCGTAGTCAGTATACGTGATACAAAATTGATTAACCACTTGCAGGCGTTTTTGGAGGTTTTCGCTACTTTCATGCCATTTAAGACTTGACAATTTTAGACTTCCGAAAGCTTATGTTTTCTTTCGGAGAGTTGCTCCGTTGAAAAGAAAAGCAGATTTGGAATCACCGCTTACAGGCGCGTCTAGTAACATGCATCTTCCTTCGGGGCAGACCAGTTGTCATTTTCTTAGACTTGACATTTCAATTTCCAATTTTCTTTACGTGTTTTTAGAGAAACGCCTTCTTGCCGACGTGATCGTACTTGCGGCAGAGCAGATGACTCGTTGTACACTTGCGGAGGATTAAAAAGGCAGTCTTAAAGGCAGTATCCTGGCAGATTCGCACCCTGGGGGATATGGCTATGGTGGGGTTTGTTTTTTTAACTCACTAATCTATACTCCTAGTCTGGCTGATTGATGTTCCCCTGCGCCGGACCGGTGCACGCTCGAACGGCTTCGCTTACCTGTTCGACGCGGAACCCTATGACCTCTCCCGTATTGCGCATGCTATCTAAGGCCTCGGGCATACCTCACGCGATTTCAGTCGCCACGCGATTTGACAATACTCCAAATGTTCATAACTCATCGTACGGGGCTTCTGAATGTACGGAAGGTGGGGCATTTTATCAACCTACGAAAGCTATACATGCTGTGCATTTGGGGTCTACCAGTATTGAATTTGAAGACATCTGGCAAATTGCCAGATCGCGTGGCTACTGAAATCGCGTGAGGTATGTCCCTTGCCCAAAGCAAAAACTACAGGCGACAGGGTCTTTGTGCCAGAGTCTCCCAACTTCCGTTGAAACTCTCGTGTGACCTGACATTTGGAAAGTGGGTAAACGCTCCAAAACCGCCTTTTCACCCGGCTTAAAGCTCGAATTCAGATTCTACGCGTCAAAAAGCCCTGAAACATGCAGAAATGTGGAAGTGCAAAATTTGTCGGAGCACGGCCTTCAAGAAATATGGTGCGAGCTTGTACCAATATATGGTTATAGAGGGTCTTCATTTCTTTAGAAATGCAAAAATCTTAAGACTTGAAGACGCGGTTTGCAAGCTTGTTTGTTCAAGTGGGCTTACGATTTAATACAACAGACTCACCTTTGTAACATTCGAGCGCTTGCGTGCGGGCAATGATAGCCACAAGGAGAACAACGGGCACAAACGAAAACATCTGATGAATATACAGATAGATTCTAATTTGAGGGGGTTTTATACTGGTTGATGATTCATCGTATTCTTGCCATATCACTATCCTTATAAGCCAAACTTTTTTGACCTTGCTGTCACTGTCACGACGTCGTATCATAACAAAGTTCTTCATCGATTCTACAGGGTGTCCCAAAAGTATGTATGCACTGTTTGATCATTAATATCTCTCTTTCCAAGAAATCTTTTGCCTTGCTTTGGGTACCGTTTTGTAGAGCTGGCTTCAACTTAAATAGCATTATAAAACGAATCACTCATCTCCCTTCATTACTGTAGGATTATGGTAGAAACCTCAAAGAGGGTTTTGAGCAATGAAAGGCCATACTTTGCCTCAAAAAGGAAACAAAACAGCCTGAAAGTTCTACACTAGGCTAACTAAAGTGTTGATTCTAAATGTAAAGTTCCAACTTATTATGAAGCTTCATTGAAGAGTTATGCCGGGTAAGAGGTCGGCCATTTTTGCAATGTTTCCGAAAAATGCGGTTACACCGTTTAAAAAGCTTCGTAATCTTGTGAATAGTTGAGTATTGAACTCAGGGTTTATAAAAACCCTGTTTTTCACAAATTTTCACAATTCTTTGAAAAATATTGAATTGGCAGCTTTTTCCACTTGACACCATTTGTTTCAAGTTTCTACCGTAATCCTACAGTAATGAACAGAGATGGATGATTCGCTCTATGATGCAAATTTAAGTTTAAGCCAGCTCTACAAAACGGTACCTGAAGCAAGGCAGAGGACTCCTTGGGAAGAGAGATACTAATGATCAAACAATGCATACATACTTCTGGGACACCCTGCATAAATATCAATGTGGCTTCAAATCTGGTACAAGAAGGTTTACGGCTTGCTAAGCTTGGTCTTCGGTAAAATTGCAGAAAAAATTCTCCAGCGCTCATCAAGACACTACGACCACTCAGTCACAGTATGGCGCAAAATAGAACAAATTTTGAGCTAGCATCAGTGTTGTGTAGTCAGTCAGGTATGGCCAATGAGAACTGCAGAACAGCAGTGTTCAATGACAAATCTACTGAACCATCGTTTACCTTACGTTATTCTAGGAGGCGTGATTTTCAAGGAGCCATGTAGTGCTAAACACTGTTATAAAGCCACTCTCAATATCGCCATGATTTGCCTCTTAAAGGAATCTATTTGAAGTTTTGCTGCGTTGTATACATGAAAGCGTACCATTAATTCCCCAACGGCCTCCAATCTCGTCGACTTGAAACGGTGAAAAAGAGAAATTTTCAAAAAAAAAACCTCAGGCTAGAATGGACATTAATGTAAACCCACTTGCTTTTTTTCAGCCGTCATTGCATTTCTTGCATACCTCGACTCTAAAAGATTATTCGAGGATAAAGATGACCTGGATTTATTCCCTCTCAAAAGCATTTAATCAATCTGCTTCGACGAACAGCTGGTTTGAGTTTGCGAGTTTCTATACATGCCACGCAAAAGTCTTGGAAACTTCTGAGCTTTCTTGATAAACGAGGTGAAGAACGCTTTAGAAACTTTGAATTGCTGATATTGACTGGCGAGCTTCAAAATCACAAAAGGCTAACCACATTTCTACAACGTGATGTTAGATATTTAAGAAGTGTTGGGCTTGATTTACTATATTGCTCAACTGATAATGCAGTTTTGCGAAAACTCTAAAATTGTTGTGATGCAATCACGCCTTCAATTTGGACTACTTTTCGTGAAAATTTTCCGTGAACAGAGATTTCACTATTTCTCTCTCTGTTTCAAATCAAATTTTGCGAATTAGTTAAGCGTAACCAAAATTTTGAAGTTTTAAGCGTTCCAATTTGACCTGGTGGTCTGACCAGGGAAGACGCTTTGATCGAAGCGGCCATATGGAAAATGATGCGTATGGATAATTAGCTCCATCGGCGACTGCTGATCTCAAAACTGCTTTCGCTATCTGCGGAGCTTTTCTATAAAAGGAGTTATGAGCCTTTGTTCTCCAAAAAGCGGCCTTCCCTTTATCAAGGCGCGGCAAGGCATTTCCGTTGTGGCGGCGTAGTGTAGTGGTGAGTGCCTGCGATTTACAGGTGAGTGAGCAGGGTTTGAGTCCTGCTTTCGCCCAGCAGTTTTGCATTTTCCTAAAATTTTTGCTTGCCTCTGAAAATGCCGTATATGGACAATTTGTCGCAAATCTCGCAAGTGCTCATAATTACAGTGCTCATAATTCTTGTGCGTTGGTAATTCAACACGTGCTTTATTCTTGCCAGCACTTGTAAAATCGGCAAGAGTTTGGGCAAGAGTTTGGGCAAGCGTTTGGCTATTGAACCATTTCATGCCTTTTATGGAGAATTTTAGGACAGCTTCTTTTTGTAGCCAAAGAACTGTTTCAGTTGCGAGACTTGCGATAACTTGTTTGTATGTGGCTTTTTTAGAGGCAAGCAAAAATTTTAGGAAAATATTAGGTTGATGCAAAAGTTCTTTCCCCCCATTTTCAAAAATTCATAACTTCCGATTTTTTCAATCAATTTGGCTGCATTTATTTTCATTTATTTTGGTATGAAAGAGTAACTCATGCTTTTCATAATGACTTCTTAGCTGTTTGCTAATGGTCATTTGTTGCATAGATAGGAGCGATAGAAGAAAATTGGTCAAAATTTGAATTTTCTGTGTAGGGTCATAAAAAATCGGAAACTTGCGATAAAAATCGGAGCAGTCAGTATTGTAGGTTCTTTTACCAGCTCTTTTTAACGGTGCAAAGTTTGCGCCGATTGAGCGTCTCTACGAAAAGTTATGATTTTCCTGAAAAATGCCAAAATAAATCAAAATCGCCCTTTTGTATTGCTTGCTCGAAAATCATAACTTTTGATAGAGACGCTCAATCGACGCAAACTTTGCACCATTAGAAAGAGCTGGTAAAAGAACCTACAATATTGACTGTTCCGATTTTTCTTGCAAGTTTCCGATTTTTTATGACCCTACACAGAAAATTCAAATTTTGACCAATTTTCTTCTATCGCTCCTATCTTTGCAACAAATGACCATTAGCAAGCAGCTAAAATGTCATTATGAAGAGCATGAGTTACTATTTCATACAAAAATAAATGCAGCCGAATTGGTTGAAAAAATCGGAAGTTATGAATTTTTGAAAATGGGGGGAAAGAACTTTTGCATCAACCTAATATAAAACCGCTGGGCAACAACAGGACTCGAACCTTGCTCACTTACCTGTAAACCACGGGCACTCACCACTACACCACGCCCCCACATGGAAATGCCTTGTTGCGCCTTGATAAAGGAAAGGCCGCTTCTGGAGACAACAAAGGCTCATTACTCCTTTTACAGAAACGCTCCGCAGATAGCGAAACAGTTATGAGATCAGCATTCGAAGAGCTGTCTACCCATACGCATCACTTTCCATATGGCCGCTTCGACCAAAGTGTCTTCCCTGGTCAGTCGTATTTGTGCGGGTTGCTCTAATCATTTCTTGGAAAATAAATTTATGCGGTGGATTCAAAATGCCCAGTGCAGCTATTTTTTTCTAACTATGCACATAACTTCATTGTTGTACGAGTTTTTAAAACCAAGCCTTGGGATGAAAGCGTGACAGTCCTTGTTGATTTTAGAGTTTGTCCTTCACAACAACGATTACTCAAAGTCTTTATCTGTAAGGGCGTCTTTCACGTTAACTATCAAGAAAGAAGAAGAAGAAATAGTAGATTTGAGTTTATGTCCATTCTACTGCTTAGGGGAATTTTCATGAAAAGTACCTGGAATTTGAAGATGCGATTGCATCGAAACAATCTGAGAGTTTTCGCAAAACAACATCATCATATAGGCAAGGTAACAAGTCAAGCCCAGCACTTCCAACAACATCGAGTTTTGTAGAAAAGGCCTATACTTTATGGTGATTTTGCAGCTGTCCGTCAGTATCAGCGATTACGCGAGATTTTTAGGAACGTTCTTCACCTCATATGAAAGCTCACGAGATTCTATGACTTCTGCGTGGCAAGTGAAAAAGCTCGTAAACTCTGGAAACCAGCTTTTCTTGAAAGCAGATTAACTCCCAATGCTGTCAAAAGCAAAAACTTCACGTGATTGTTTATCTTCGATTACGACGAGAGGTCGGAGGTGCTGCAAATATTTCATACTTCAAGATGTAGCTGTACAAAAAGTTTGAGAGTCAAAGAAGCAATGATGGTTTATCAATCAAGTGGATTTATAATAGTGTCCAGTTTGAGGCAGTGGCTCGACAATCTTTCACAATTTTTTTTGCTTATTCGGGGTAAATCGACACTGATCTCGGAAATCAACCTTACATAGTACGGAAATGGCGTGAACTAGCCTTTCCGAAGGTTGTTTATACTCAGAGTTTACAATCTATAGACGATCTCGGTTGAGTCAAAAGTTGAAAGCAAGGGATGGGGTGGCTCGAGAAATTTGAGGGGACGGGGGAAGGAGACATTGTACGTACTGTATTATCTTTTGGTTTCACAAAATAATTTGCTATTATCTGTTTATCAGGGTTCCAAATACTAGGTTTTCCCAAGAGTTCTTGCTCCGCATTTTCGAAAAATTCCGTGAAGAGCTTAATTTATGCTTCCATGTGGGATCCTCTTCAAAGAAATCCATTGAGACACGAAGAATTTATGTTTTTTGTTTCCCCGTCCCTCAAATTTCTCGAGCCACCCCATCCCTTGCTTTCAACTGTTCAGTCAACCGAGATCGTCTTTAGATTGTAAACCCTGAGTATAAACGACCTTCGGAAAGGCTAGTTCACGCCATTTCCGTACTATGTAAAAAACTAGTAATAAAATTGAAATGATAATACTTCTATAGTGTAGTCCTAGTTAAAATTAAAGAGATTTAGATATTTTTTCTAGAACACTAAATTATGTTACTCCGTTTCGTTCCTTCCCTTAGACGGAGTTTAAAATGAGTTCTAGGTCTTCCCCGGAACTCCTCAGTAAGGAAGGAAGACCTAGAATCATGTATTATTCAAACATAATTGTTATTATTGTAAATCCTTGAAGTTTATTTGATTATC